CCCCCCTCTCTCTCTCTCTCTCTCTCTCTCTCATCAAACTCCAAAACTAATTACATGCATTGCCTAAAACCTCTCATCATGAACCCAAGATAAAGTGGGGCTTGAGACTTGAAAGCATAAGAAAAGCTACATTTAGGGTTGCTTGGGTGGCTAGAGAGTAGTTGTGGAGGGGATGCAAGATTGGACCGAAATGCCCCTCCATATTAAAGTAATTTGACAAAAAATTGAGGATAAAAAAAATTGATAATATATTATTGATGACCAAACAAAAGTACAAAGCAATTATGCGCTGAATATGGATAAATCTTCTCCGGTGACCAAACACAACATGTTGAACTTTTTTTTTGTGTGGTCGAAATCAACATGTTGAATTGATATGGAGAGAATCACGCACAACCTAAAACAATGACTAAATTCCCGATCCATCAACTAGAAGCACATGTACTCAAATCAACAATACAAATCCGCCGCACAACGGTAGAAACAGCATATCCGCATCGAAAGCCAAAAGCTAAAAAGAAATAAAAATCCTAAATAGAAAACAAATCACAACAAACTCCTAAAGAGTTATTGAAAATTATTAGTCTAAAACAAAACTAAAGAAACAGGACCACCACTCCACATCTTTTGGGCAACCCGAAGAAAATCATAGCTCCATACCGGCTAAATCCATAGTCTCACACTGGCTAAACCTGAAACCAAAACAACCAGACATCTTCTCCTCTTTAGAGCTCCAAACTATGTCCTTGTGTACGTGGGTCAAAATACGGTGACTTTATCATGATGACGACATCATTTCACGACAATCGCTTCCACAGTACAAAATAAACGAACAATCTTGAGGGAAAATGGAGGGAAGGAGAAAAGAAGGAATAAAACGAGAAGGAGGGAGGTAGGGAAGGAGGCCGCTAACCCCCAAAAGGGTGGTGGCTAAGACTTTTTTCTTTAGGGTGTATTTACTTTTTGTAATTATTAGGTCGAGAGTTCATACTATATTTTAACATTTATATGGTAAGATTGTATCTAAGACATACTGCAATAATTTATTATTGGCTTGTTCTTTTGTGTGTGGTTAATTTGCTTCTATTCTACATGACCTGTACGTAAGTGATGCTATTGTGGTACAATTCCTTGATATTTTTTTGAAGTTCCAGAATTTTTTATGTACGGAAATTGAAATAAAAGGAGTGATGAGGATTGATTGCTACTGTTGAACGAATATGCATGCATTATGTATGTTCCGTAGGGTTAGGGTTGTGGAAAAAGGACCATTATTGGAAAAGTAATTCATTTGCTAGATAACGAAAAGTCTTGGTCTTCGTCATTATTCGCAACCGGAGACACATAC